TGGTATACAATCATTCCCATGCCTTACAGTCTAGGGGCTATGTTCACTCCTTAAATGATTATTCTTTGTTTACTAGAGAGTTTAGGGATTATCTTGTTATCTTGGTTGTTTATGTAGATGACATAGTTCTTATGAGACTAATTTAGATGAAATTTCATCGTTGAAAGCCTTCGTGCATGCTCAGTTCAAAATCAAAAACTTAGGCTTGTTGAACAATTTTCTTGGTATTGAGGTTTTGTACACTTCGTCTGGTGTTTTACTCCATCAACGCAAGTTCATTCATGGTCTCCTGAAAGAATTTTGTTCTAATGAGTCTTCTCCTATGGTCTGCCTTTTTGAGTTACATGAAAAATTGAATGCCAATATGGGTGATCATTTACCTAGTCCTGAGTTGTATAGGAGTTCGATTGGCAAGTTAAATTTCTTAACACATACTAGGCCAGATTTGTTATTTTCTCTGCAGCATCCTTGTGTTCCTCATATGGAAGCTGCCTTGCACCTCTTGAGGTACTTGAAAGGGACTTTTGATTTTGGGTTGTTCTTCAACAACTCCTATAATTTTTCTCTTCAAGTTTATTGTGGCAGTGATTTGGGTTCTAGTCCTGATAGTAGACGGTCAATGACTGGTTTTTACATTATGCTGGGTGGCAGTTTGGTCAGCTGAAAATCCAAGAAACAGCATGTTGTCTCTCTATCCTCCTCGTGAGACTGATTATAAGTCCTTGAGCAATGTTGTAGCTGATGTTACTGGGCTCTCTAGACTTTTATCTGATTTTGGGTTTACTAATCTTTCTTCTATTCCTATCTACTGTGCTAACTAGGTTGCCATATACATTGCAAAGAATATTGTTTTCCATGAGCGGACCAAGCATATAAAGTTGGATCGTCACTTTGTGCGCACCATGCTGGCTGATGGCTTGATTTCTCTACTACACACATCCAGCTCTACCCAAATCGCTGACATTCTCACCAAACCTCTACCTGGGACAGCCCATCATCTCCATATCAGCATGTTGGGTGTGTTTTCACCCTCCAACTTGAAGGGGGGGGGGTGTTGAGTTTAATATATTTGTACTGATGTGGGCTAGTTAGTGTAGTTAGTGTATTTGGGCTTGGCCCACGTTTTTATTTATAGATTTAGTAGACTGAACCAGGTCATATAAATCTAGTGGTCCACATTCTATTTTGAACAGAAAAAACATTTTATTTTACAAAAAAAAATATGAGAAATAAAGCTCTTCTCAATCTCAATCTCTCTCTTTCTCTATGAAACTTCAAGCCCTAGTTAGTATTTTTCCTCAAAATCCATGTCGATTCTAGAACTTGGTGTCTTGTATGATCCTGGAAACTTTTACTGGTAAGATAATCTCTCATTTTGTTATTTTGCTCGCCATGTTGAAGCCATTAAAGACCCGGGATGCAGGTACAATCTGATCTTGTAGGCCAAGTTGCTCCACGACCCTCGATCCGACTATATTTGTTGAGCTGCCTGGATACACTAAAACACATTTAACTTGAAATTTATTTAAAAGGATAGAGATTACTAGGGCATCGTTTTGGGGCTGAGATACGCCTTCTGCTTCTTCATCGCAGAATGATAGGATGTCCTCGGGAACATAGCTCCGAGTCCATTTTTCTCTCGTGATCGACACCTTGGTGCATTTGATCACAGGTCGTTGAGGGACATCGACTCCTCCAATGATCATGTGGATTCCATATTGTGGTTCTTCTTGCTCATTTCTCCTTGCATATCTCTCCTAGAAGTGATTCTTAGCCCGATCACCTAGGTATTCTCGAAGATTGCCTTCGTTGAACAACCGAACAACTTCTTCCCTTAGTTGCCTGCAATCTTCTATTCTATGAACATGTGATCCATGATACTTGCACATCAAGTTCGGGTTCCTTTAAGAAGGATCGATCTGTATAGGTTTAGGCCACTTTGTGTCTTTGATTCTTCCAATAGCTGAGACAATCCCCGATGCATCTACGCGGAAGTTGTATTCCGATAATCGAAGAGCCTTGGCGAGGTCAGTATGCTTATCGAACCCGCTCTTACTTGTGAGTCCCGGAGAACTTGTGGCCTCGATCTTTTTTTCAATCATTCCGAGGAGTGTTCCGACCCGAGCCATTGTTCCTTCAATCGACATACGGCTGATACCGCTCTTTGTTGAATCTTGATTCCTGATCTGTGTCCCTAGGGGGCTTGGCTCCAAATCTGTTAGGATGACCTGAACCCCAGGGGGCTCCCAAATGGTCATCATCGACCCTAATTTTTGACTGGTAGCAATTGTGCACATCTGACCATGTCACAGTTAGGTATTCGATCAAATTCTATTTTAATTGCCAAGATGCGATCGAGCTTCTTTCATTCAAACCCTGCATGAAAGCTTGTACTGCCCAGTCATCAGAGACTAGTGGTAATTCTATTCTTTCCATCTGAAACTTGGACACAAACTCCCTTAACATCTTATCGTTCCTTTGTTTTATTTTGAAGACATCCAATTTTCTCGTGGCAACCTTTATGGACCCGACATGTGCTTTCACAAAGGCATCTACTAACATAGCAAACGAGTTAATAGAGTTAGAGCTAGTTGTGATACCAAATCATAGCTCCTTTCGACAACGCTTCTCCAAACGTTTTTAACAAGACTGATTCGATCTCATCGTCATTCAAATCATTTCCTCTGATTCCACAAGTGTATGAAGTAATATGCTCATTGGGGTCGGTTGTTCCATTATATTTGGGTAAATCAGACATGCAAATTTTTTTGGGAATGGGCATCGGAGCCGCACTCTGAGGGAATGATTTTTGTATGAATTTTTTAGCATCTAAACCTTTCAAAATTAGAGGTTCCCCTAGTATCTGGTCTACATGGGAGTTATAAGTTTCCGCATTTTTATCATTGTCTTCAATTTTTTTCCCATACTCAATCCTCTTGGTTAGCTCTTCGAGCATCCTCAAAATCGTGGGGTCAATCCCCGACCCACTTCCATCGGGCCTTTCCGATGCTGGTTTAGTACGCTGAGTGTTTACTGGTTCGTCTGTATTTGGAGTTTTATTCTTACTCTGAAGTTGAGCGATGGAGATTTGCTGAGCTTGCATCATGTCGAATATCACTTGGAGGGTGACTCTTCTATCTCCCATTCCTTGTGTTCTTTGGCCAAAGGATCGGGCTTCCATGTGTTCATTTCTTTTGGTATCCACGCCTAGATCTGCCTTCAAAGAGATGTGCAAACTAACATCAATGGGTTCCACATTTGGCACTTCCCTTGGGTTTATCGGTGGTACACCGACCCCTGCTTGCTGTTTTCTCCAAGACTTTTGTTGTCATGGATGGGTGCATTTTATTAGCTAGACATGTTTCAACCTTAGAATCAAAAAATCTTTGCAAGAAAAAATGTAAAAACAACGTATGTAACGAGAATCAGTAAAGAAATAATCACTATTATCTTCAGTCCCACGATGGATGCCAAACTGTTTACCTCGAAAATACAAGTAATAATTAGATTTGATTTGTGGTTTTAAAGATATGTGGTTTAGTTCAATACCAATTAATAATCAAGAAATAAGAAGTAAAGATGAAAGAGATTAGTGAATCAAACCAACGTAACCTAGCGGTAGCGGTAGTGACCTCGAGATTGTGACCTCGAGATAGACTAATAGCAATAAAATAAGGTAAGTAAAGTAAAGACAATAGAGCTAAAGGACAATGTTGACGAACAGTAGGCAAATAGTAGAGAATATATTCTTTTCTTAGTGATCAGATCATGTTACAAATGATTGGGATCCCCTTTATATAATAAGGGAACCCTAAATAAAGAATATTTCTATTTACAGTTGGGAATATTCTTGATACAGCTATCTAACCGCCTAGTACGAAATCGTACAATCTTATTCCGTGATTCACGCCATGATCTTGGGGACGTGGAAGGAATCTAGCTCATTCTGTTAGAAACCCATAACGGTACTATTTTGGGGTCGAGCACACTTGGCCTCGGTATTCCCCGAACTCCTATCTTCGGGCATCGCAGTTTGTCTTCGACCTCGGGTCTGGTCCACCGGTTTTGAACTTCGACCTCGCCCGGACCCGAGCCTAGAACGGAACCTTGATCCTATAAATCGGGGGCATATAATTTTGACTGTATACAATATCATATCCTAATATTTTAAACACATTACTGACAATTGTTGTTTTGTTCATAAATGACAGTTATTTTCTTTATTATCTAATTAAATTTATGAGACTTTTCATGACATTTGATTCAAATTAATATTATTCTTGTTCGTAAGATTTATTAAAATATATGTCATTAACAATCTGGTTATATCAATGTATATGTAATGTTCTTATTAGATAGAAATTAGTAAATAATTCAAATTACATAGATCTCTCGAGGAATGGGATGGGTGTATGAAGTGAGAATCATTAAGGCTTTGCTCAAAATAGGGTAGTCCGGTGCATGAAACATCCAGTGTTCACGTAGGATCCAGGAAACGGCTGCACCCTCTTACTAGCTGGAATCGACATGGATTTTGAGGAAAAATATTAACTAGGGCTTGAAGTTTCATAGAGAAAGAGAGAGATTGAGCAGAGCTTTATTTCTCATCTTTTTATGTAAAATAAAATATTTCTTCTATTCAAAATAGAATGTGGGCCACTATATTTATATGACCCATTCAATCCACTAAAGCTATAAATAAAAATGGGGGCTTGTACTAACTACACTAACCAGCCCACATCAGAACAAATATTAAACTCAATACCCCCTCCCTCCCCCTTCAAGTTGGAGGGTGGTAACACTCCCAACTTGTTGATTTGGAGATGATGGACTACCCCAAGTAGAGGTTTGGTGAGAATGTCAGCCATTTGGGTAGAGCTAGAAGTGTGTAGTATAGAAATCAAGTCATCATTCAGCTTGGTGCGCACAAAGTTACAATCCAACTCTATATGCTTGGTCCGCTCATGGAAAATAGTATTCTTTGCAATGTATATGGCAGCCTAGTTATCACAGTAGACAGGAATAGAAGAAATATTATTAAACCCAAAATCGGATAAAATTCTAGATAGCCGGGTAACCTCAGCCACAACTTTGCTTAAGGACATATACTCAGCCTCAGTAGAGGATAGAGAGACAATACATTGTTTCATGGATTTCCAGCTGACCAAACTGCCACCCAGCATAATGCAAAAACCAGTCACTGACCGTCTACTATCAAGACAAGAACCCAAATCACTGTCACAATAAACTTCAAGAGAAAAATTAGAGGAGTTGTTGAAGAACAACCCAAAATCAGAAGTCCCTTTCAAGTACCTCAAGAGGTGCAAGGCAGCTTTCATATGAGGAACACAAGGATGCTGCAGAGAAAATGACAAATCTGGCCTAGTATGTGTTAAGAAATTTAACTTGCCAATCAAACTCCTATACAACTCAGGACTGGGTACACGATCACCCATATTGGCCTTCAATTTCTCATTTAACTCAAGAGGGCAGACCACAAAAGAAGACACATCAGAAAAAAATTCTTTCAGGAGATCATGAATGAACTTGCGTTGATAGAGTAAAACACCAGAAGGAGTGTACAAAACCTCAATACCAAAAAAATTATTCAACAAGCCTAAGTCTTTGATTTTGAACTCAGCATGCAAGAAGGCTTTCAAGGTAGAAATTTCATCTAAATCAGTCCCAATAAGAACTATGTCATCTACATAAATAGCCAAGATAATAAGAGAATCCCCAGACCCTCTAGTAAATAAAGAATAATCATTTAAGGAATGAACATAGCCCCTAGACTATAAGGCGTGGGAAAGATTAGCATACCACATCCTGAAAGCTTACCTTAGCCTATATAGAGATTTTTGCAACTTGCACACGAGGGTACCACATGAGGAAGTGGAAGGAACAGACAATCTAGGAGGAAGTTTCATATACACTTCCTCATCCAAACCACCATGCAAGAATGCACTATTTACATCACTACTAGAAACACATGGATTTCCGGTGGCAAAATTAGAGGGAAACTGGTGGGAAAATTGAGTTTGCACACTGCATTCCCACCGAAATGAGTTATCAGGAAAACCGTGGGAAATATGCAATTTCTGAAAAATAAAGTATGAACATTCCCATCGATATCTGCATGAAATGTGTTAATTTTGAAAATAAAAGTATGAACTTTCCTACCAATATCAGTGGGATAAATGCAAATTATGAAAAAAAAAAGTATGAACTTTCCCACCGATATCAGTGGGAAATATGCAAGTTCTGCAACTAAAGTGACGAACCTTCCCACGGAATCAGTGTCAATTCTGTGGGAAATATGGAAATTATTTTTGTGCACAATATTGTAAATATACTGCACCACCTGCCAAACAAAAAAATACAACCACCAACAACCTAAATTCAATTAAACATTCACACACAAAAATCAACATCTTCCGATCCATTTCGTTAATTAACAACCAACCAAAACTGAAAATACTAGAAACCAATAATGCAACTTAACATTCAAATAAGAAATTTAGCATTCAGTCTTATCCAATTGATACATAAAATCCAACATCATAATCCTACTCAAAATCATATTAATAAAAGAAACTACTCCTTAGTCTTGTTAGAGCGTGATGTAGAACGTGGAACAGGAAATGCACTAGATGCTAAGAGGTAATTTAGCTGGGTCTTGAGGCTTTCAACGTCACCAGTGACATGTGTAAATGCAGCATCATTTTGCCTCATTTCTGCCTCCTCCTTCTGCGCAGCCCTTTCCTGTGCATATAACTAAGTGATCTCTACTATTCTTCTACTCAATAGCTCAAACTCTTCCTGATTAATCGAGGACCTTGAGGAAGAAGAGCCACCAGGTCCAAAAGACTGACGACCGAAACTAAACTCTGATCCAAGCCCGTAAACTCTTCCCTTATGTATGCCACCAGCCACCTTAATCCACAAGTCCATATAATTCTCCTGAGATGGATGGATTGGCTTTCCTTGATCATCAGTTGGTTGGCTTTGAATGAACTCATCCAAGGATTGTTTGAAAGTATTTTGCAAAAAAGTTACAACTATTATATGAATAAATTTAATTAATGAAAAGTATTAAAAAGTAACTTGAAATCTTACATAGGTTGTCTCGGCTCGTGGCTCGATCCAATTTGTCTTTGTTCCATCCTTTAGCTTCTTCATATGTGTAAAATACCTCATCTTGAGTAGCTGGTCTTTTAAAGACTTTTCATGTTAAATAAAACATGATAAAAGCAAAATTAAAGTGCTATGTCCATGAAACTTCAAAAAAATTAGTTAACCGTGTAATTAGTTACAACAACAACAACAACAGTTTAGGCATATACTTATATACCTTGTATTCCAGAAATATGGAGCCAAAAAGATTAATAATAACAATAACTGATGTAGCCATACTTCAAACATGAACTAGAAACTCCAAAAATTGCAAAAAAGACCACAAAGAAAGATCATAACATATTACTGGAATTGTTCAGGTCCAAAAAGCATAAGAAAATGCATAATCAACTAAATGAAATCATTTAAACCACAAGTTATGGAACAAAACTTTGACTAAAAAAGCTTCAGAGTCTCACAATATATACCTTTACAAAAAAAATTAGAGATTCGATACCAATAGGCCATATGAAGAACAAATTCTTCCTTTAATGCACAACGATTAGGATGATTCCTATCGTACATACATCTACGATGTTCAATTTTCATCTAGTACACAAATACACACAAACAAATGAATAGACTTAGAACGATTTATTTGTTTCAAGTTAGGTTACAATTAATCTTGAATAGTATACCTTAAAGAACTCACTTAGTGTACAATTAATTATGAATAGTATACCTTAAAGAACTAACTTTTATTTGTCTTTTTATAAGTCAAGAAAAGACTATGGTTCTAGATCAAGTTACTATGAATGAAAAGTACTTTTTCATAGATATGCTCCTATTAAGTTCTTGGAATCAGTTTAAAAAGTCGAACCAAGATTCTAACACATTGGTTATCATCCATAAATAAATTTAAAATTGGAGGATAGATATAATATTCACAATAAAGGATTTTTTTATCAAGGTAAAAGCAATATAAATTCATATAGTTGTTCTAGCAATTTAACAACTTAACTTACATTTAACAACTGAAACCAACTTAGAGATTAGCAAATGAAGTTACCACAAGACTTATAACCTGTTTTTGTCTTCTTTTACACTTTTGTATCTTCACTTCCTAGTCACTTAAAAAGGCTAGAAACTTGTAAGCATATATTTCATGAAAACTGTTTGGAGAAATGGCTATTAATGCACAAGGATAGGAAAACAACTTTTTCACATACAAACTTAATTAAAGCAACAGAATTCCATTGATTTCTATGAGAATAGGAAACCTATATTTCATTACCCTATTATGTTACTTGAAAGGCTATTGCAGTTAATTACTCATAGCAAGTAAAATTTAAGAAAAAACAAGTAACTTTCTCTAACAAGTTAAATTGAAATGACACTATAAATGAAACAAACAAAGTACTAAGTATTTGAAAAAAATAAAAATAATAGTAATCACAAAAGTCGTAGTAAACAGTTAACTACTACTACTATATTTCAGATGCTCTTCATTAGGATAAGAAATGAAGCTGAAATACTGTCACGACCTGGATTTCCCACCCTCGGGAGTCGTGATGGCGCCTAATCGTAGAAGCTAGGCAAGCCATGAACTTAGAAATCATTAGTTCCTTTATTTTAAAACTTCTTACCAATTAGATTAATAAGGAAATAAGCAGTTAAATAACAGCGGAATATGAGATTTAAGCAGAAATCTTAAATAAATTTAAAACTAAAATGTTTCGAAAGTCAATACATGCCTCTACCCAGAACCTGGGATCACAACATCCACGGACTACTAAGAGTACTAAATACAACCGTTTGAAAGAAATATAACATTGTTTGTCTCGAATACATGAGATAACAGAACATATAATAAGATAGAGGAGACGCGGGACCTGCGGACGCCTGCAAGGCTGCCTCGGTGTCTCGCTGGACTGAAGGCTGGCTCCCGAGCTACTGCTGCTGATCAAGTGCCGCTCCGTTATCTGCACAGAGTGCAGAGTGTAGTATCAGCACAACCGACCCCATGTGCTGGTAAGTGTCTGGCCTAACCCCGGCGAGGTAGTGACGAGTCTAGGACCAGACTCCAGATAAACCTATGCAATTATATAATATACAGCAGAAATATAAACATGTAATAACAGTTTTAAAGGGAGGGGAAACATGCTTCAGGGAAACACATCAATTCTATCAGAAACTTAATAAAGTATGGAGAAACACTAGATGTCTACAATCAATACAATAACAATATTGTTGCGGCGCGCAGCCCGATCCCTTATCATTTAACATTGTTGCGGCGTGCAACCCGATCCCTTATCATTTAACATTGTTGCGGCGTGCAACCCGATTCCTTATCATTTAATATTGTTGCAGCGTACAAGCCAATTCAATATAATATCTATTGCGGTGTGAAACCTATCCACATATATATTTGTTGCGTAATGCAAACCGATCCACATAAATAGTTGTTGCAGCGTCCAACCCTATCCAATATAATATCTAATAATGTTGCGGCGCGAAACCCATTCCAAATATACAGTCCACAATAATCCTAATAAATTGTCCCAACAAGGGATCAACAATAGACTATACTCTCCCAGCAAGGGAACTCAACAGTAAAAGTATATACGTCCCGGCAAGGGAGGAACAACCATAACCAAACTTGTCCCAACACCTAACTATCTCAACTATAACTCAACAAGTTTCAACATCTAACTACCTCAGCTATAACTAAACTTGTTACAACACCTAACACGAAGAATCATCAACCTAAGCATCCGTAGTATCAATTAAGAACATAATGCAAGGAAACCTCAACTCAACAATAGCCCAGCAAGGGGGCAACACAATGATCTCTTTTCTTTCTCACTTTTACTTCACAATTCACTTGGCAACTCGAGTCAGTGTTCTAGAGTTTCGATTATCACTTATACTTTCACAATTAGTTATACAACTAGAGCCAACACTCCTCAATGTTCATAGGTCACAACTCTTTCCACAACTTTACACAACAATTAGAAGTCTTCACCAAGGCATGAATAATACAACGAGATCATGAAATTCACAAGATAAGACTCACAGACATGTTTGACACCAACGCATAGATACTCGTCACTATGCCTATATGTCGTACTCAACAAGAAATAAATAGCAAATAGGACACAACTCCTAATCCCTCAAGCTAAGGTTAGATTAAACACTTACCTCGATGCCTCGAACACAACTCAAGCTTCAATTATAGCTTTACTCCTTGATTCCACCGCCAATTCGCTAGTATCTAGTCACATATTACTTAATTACATCAATAAACGCTAAATGAATCAACCCCAATGCATGAAAATGAGCTTTTCCAAAGTTTTACCCAAAAAGTCAAAAATCGCCCTCGGGCCCACATGGTCAAAACCCGAGGTTTGAACCAAAACCCGATTACCCATTCCCCCACAAACCCAAATATATGATTTGTCTTGAAATCGGACATCAAATCGAGGTCCAAATCCCAATTTTTGAAAAACCTAAGTTCTACCCAAAACACCCAATTTTCCCATTAAAATCATTGATTTGAAGTTGAAATCATGTTAAAAGATGTTAATAATTGAAGAAAACTAGCTAAAAAACGACTTACATTTGATTTGGAGAAGGAAGGTTGTTGAAAAATCGCCTCTTATGTTTTTGGGGTTTTGAAAAATGAAAAATGACTGAAAATCTCATCTATTTATACCCCCCTCAAACCCCCTGTGCAGACCACACAAAATGGACTGCGGCCGCACAGGCCTTCCAAAAGTGTTGCGGTCTAGTCCCCTATTCGGACCGCACTAAATGGACCGCGTCCGCATAGGTCTCCACTACGCTGCGCACGAAACCGACCGCGGACCGCACTGCAGTGCCCTGTACGGACCGCACAAAGCCGACCGCGGACCGCACTGCAGTGCCCTGTACGGACCGCACAAAGCCGACCGCAGCCGCACAACCTTCACATCGCACCGCACAAGGTCGACCGCGGACCGCACTGGTGGGGTTCAGAGACATGCAATTTTTTTCTGGTTTTAAGCTTAAAACATCCCGAAGCTTACTTGAAACTCACCCGAGCCCTCGAAACTACAAACCAAGTGCACATAAAACCTCAACAACATCCTACGGACTTATTCGTGTGACCAAATTACAAAAATAACCTCAATAACCATGAATCAAACCTAAAAAATCAAGAACTTTTTCTCAAACTTCATCAAGCATCAAATTTAGCAATTTAGGTCTGAATCACGTCAAACGACGTCCGTTTTCAACCAAACTTTACAGAAATGACTTAAACCATATATAAGACCTGTATCGGGCGCCGGAACCAAAATACGGGCCTGATGCTATCATGTTCTAATCGAATTTCATTTCAAATTTCTATGAACAGTTTCAAAAAATAATTTTCTTTAAAAATTTATTTCTCAGGCTCAGGACCTCGAAATTCGATTCCGGGCATACGCCTAAGTCCCATATTTTACGGGTCTGAGTCTGTTTACCCAGAACGTTGACCAAAGTCAAATTAGCTCATTCTATAATCAAAACTTATCATTTTTCACAGATTATCACATTTAAGCTTTCCGGCTACATGCCCGGACTACGCACGCAAATCA